AGCCCGGGGGGCAGGAGGGTGAGCTCCTGCTTCATTTGCGTCTGATTCAGGGACATCTTCGCGGGAAACCGGAGGGTCTGAAAGGAAATCGGAGCGTTACTGCGGTGCTGAGGGGGGCGCGGCAGGAGGAGGGGGAACGGTGATAAAATACCAGTTCAGTTATAACATACGAGTTCAGTTTTAAAATACGAGTTCAGTTTTAAAATACGAGTTCAGTTTTAAAATACGAGTCCCAAGAAACCAGAGCAAAGCTCCCCCGGTTTGCCCTTGGGTTTCCCGAGGCGGGTTGTCCCAGAATGATGATCTGCTCTTCCTTTTTCATCCTGCCTCTCAGCTCCTGTTCCCACCCCGTCTTATCTCGTCCCTCCTCTCCCTGCTCTGCGATGTGGGACAGCCCTGTCGGGTCTGGCTGAGGTAGAGCCGCTCCTTTGAACCCGCAGCTGATTTGCACTTCAGAGTCCTTCCCCCTCTTCCCAAAGTGTCAGCTCCCTTTTATTTCTGTCCTGGGGAACCGATGAGAGGAGCTGACAAACCACAGATCTCCCGGTGTGGAGAGAACGGCCTCGGAAAGTCAAAATAATAACAGAAAAACAACGAAAGTGAAAGACAAACATTTAAAGCAGAAAGTTGGAAAATATAAATATGGGGCCAAGGGGATGTTTTGCAGTGGCAAAAGTGAAATAGTTCAGTGGGGTTTGCCCCTTTTGCAATGGTTTCCAGGTTTTGCCTGGAATTAAAAGCCTTTCCTGTAAGTACTAGGACTCAATTCCTCCTCTTGCTCTGGTTCCATCCCGACTTTGTGGGGGATGTGAAGGGCTGAGGTGACCCCTGGCCCAGTCCAGGGAGAGAATGAGCAGGGATAACGTGTCCCCGTGCCCCTGGATTGGCCTGGCCACTAATGACACCTGTGACCTGCATGAATCAGAGCCACCGGGAGGGATTTCTGCTCCCAGGGCCACTCCTGGGCCGGCAATTTGGGAAACTGTTTTGTGGCTGCTGAAGGCAGGCCCGGGCTCAGCTGGGCTGGGGAGGTGTCTGTGCTAAAGCCTGGGCTGCTGCTTCTCCAAAAGCAACTTAAAGGCACGAGTTAAAGGTGAGGACTGGAAAAGTGGTGCCTGAAAGGGGCATTTTGGAGCCCCCCCAGCACAGGACCTGCCCCACCCCGGAGCTGTGGGCAGGACAGGGACAGTGGCAGCTCCTTCTCCCTTCCCCTGGGGTTGCTGCTCCTCTCAGCACATCTCCAAAGCCAATTCCCTCCTCTCCTCTCCCTCCTCCAGGTCAGTGACACCCCTCTCTTGCCATTTTTTTTTTATAAGGATCTGATAAGACCTTTAAACGAATTAATGCATTGCCCTTGCCATGGTTGGCATGAGTGAGGCAGCACAGGAGGAATGCCTTCAGCCCTCTGCTCCTGCAGCCCCAAATCCCTGCTTTCCCAAAGAATTCTCCCATGCAATTGGAGTTTGGACAATATCCTTGCTACCAACAGCAGAATCCCAGGAAATCAGCTGGGAGGGAGCTCCAGGAGGCCACTGCTCTCCTCCCCTGGAGGAGAACTTAAACCAACACAATTTCCTCTGCTCTCCCTTTCAGGAAGGGTCTAATTTAGCCCTCGACCCCCCCCCAGAGTTACACTCAGCCTGGATTTACCCTGCAGAGCTGTCCCAAGGCTGCCTGTCCTGCCCACAGCCCCTCTCCTCTCCGAGAGCCTTTTGCATATCCGAGGGCAGGAGGTGAAACCCTCCCTTGGGAAGGGAGCAGCCACGTGAGGGGAAGCCCAGGGAGGCACCAGAGCCCTCTGACTTACCCAGGTGGCCACCAGGGAGTCTCAGGGAGCCGAGTGGATGCCGGGGCAGAGGGATGGCAGAACCTTTATATGGTCTCAGAGCCCTGCCTTCTGGGAATGAGTCCTCCTGGCTGATGAGCTCATGGTTTCACAACTGTGTTTCCTCCCCAGCCCTGTCCTACACGTAGGCAGATCTCACACAGGGCTCCTTTCATCCCCCTGACTAACCCAGCTGGACAGGACGGGGTGGGAATGAAGGGCAGACCCTCAGGTTGATGCATGGACTGCATTTGGGGTCTGGGGTGTTGTGGTGCCACCTCATCCCCTCCAGGAGTCCTTTCACACCATCCAGTTCCCACTGATTCTTGGGCTGTGTCTGTAGTTTAAGAGAGGGGGGTTTAATTTGTCCTTCTCTCTCTTGCTCTTCATCAGTGAATTCCCCAAAATGACTTCAGGGTGTAAAAACTCGTGAGGGGTGAGTGAACTTTTCTTTTCCTCAGGAAGATCTTCATGGATTTCATTCTGCTTTCGTTTCAGAACAGATAATTTTGAATCACTGGGAGGAATTTCCTCCTGGGAAGGGTGTTCAGGCCTTGGCAGGGGCTGCCCAGGGAGGTTTGGAGTGCCCAGCCCTGGAGGTGTCCAGGGCAGGACTGGCTGTGGCACTGAGTGCTCTGGGCTGGGGGATGAGATGCTGATGGATCAAAGGCTGGACTTGATCATCTTGGAGGTCTTTTCCAATGGAAATAATCCTGGGATTTATGAATTAGTGTTGTTCTCCATGGTCCAGAAGACAGAGCTCCCACTGATCTAAGTGAGACAGAACAGGGGACTGAGTTTCTCTCTCTGCATCACGTGGCAAGTGAAGGGATTTTAATGGTGTCCAAGATTTATCCCATCAAATGGAATTGGGAACTGGTCCCATTCAGGTACCAGAATGGCATTTGAAAGGATATTTCAACCTCAATGTGGAAAAAAGGGTGTTTTTCATGGAAGGAGTTTCTTCCACGTGAAAAACATTTATTGAGTGAGAATAACTCACCCTCACCCTCCAGATCTCAGGGAGGGATCAGGACACGGGTCAGGCAGCCCTTAATTGTGCTGGGAGGATTATTTCCAGCAGCAGAGGCGCCTTGGCCCACACAGAGCCCAATTTCATCACCTTTGGGTGTCTTTGGGGCCGTCTCTGTCCCGTCTCCCCCGTCCCACCAGGGCCCTTATCAGCTGCAGGTCTGGCTGAGCTGGTCCCAGCCTCCACCCAGGGTTCCTGGGCAGCAAAGGGAAGCAGCAGCTGCTCCCACTGGGGTGGAACTTCCTCCCTCAGCAACCCTCTGGCAGCTGGAGGGCGGGACACCTGAATTTTGGGCCCTGTGTGTTGTCTCCCAGGGTGGGACTCCACGTGTGACCCCCTGGCAGGTGAGGCCCTGCCTTGCTGCCTCCCTCACGGGTTTAATTTTAGTCTCCAGCCTCTGCTGGAGAGGGGAACACCCCAAAGCCAAGCCCAAAGCCCCACTCAGGCCTCCCCAGCTGCTCCCCTGCTGCAGGTCCCAGCCGTGGCTGTGCTGAGGGCAGGCACTGGGACGCTTTCCAGCAGTGGAGAACCTGCCTGGCTGCTTTCTAGGCAGCACTGTGGTTATCAGAGCAGCCCTGGTGCCCAGGTAGGCTCCTGGAATTTGCCCTTTGGAGCAGGGAGATCGAGGGAATCAGACCAGGCTCCTTCAAGGAGTTGGGTGTCTCGTTTGCCCCATCCCTGGGAGGGTCCGAGGCCACCTCGGATGGAGCTCTGAGCAACCTGGGAGAGAGGAAAAAGTGGCCCTGCCCGTGGCAGGGGGTGGAACTGGAGGAGCTTTGAGGTCCCTTCCAACCCAAAGCGTTCCAGGACTGTGGCTGTCAGCCTGGCAAGGGGTTGGAAGCACAGGGGGATCCCAGCAGGGTTTGGAAGCACAGGGGGGATCCCAGCAGGATTTGGAAGCACAGGAGGGATCCCAGCAGGGTTTGGAAGCACAGGGAGGATTCCAGCAGGGTTTGGAAGCACAGGAGGGATCCCAGCTGGGTTTGGAAGCACAGGGATGATTCCAGCAGGATTTGGAAGCACAGGGGGGATCCCAGCTGGGTATGAAAGCACAGGGGGGATCCCAGCAGGATTTGGAAGCACAGGAGGGATCCCAGCTGGGTTTGGAAGCACACAGAGGATTCCAGCAGGATTTGGAAGCACATGGAGGATTCCAGCAGCTCCAGAGCCACACTGGGATTTTCGGGCAACATTCCCAAGTGATTGTGCCCCGTCAGCTCCGGGCTGGGCTGTGTCCCTCCATCAGGGCACCCTGCAGAGACTCTGGTGGAGGCACATCAAGGCAGAGCCGGGAGTGTTGAGACACCACTTTTATTTGAGCAAGACCTGAGGTTTTCGGGGCGTTTTCGCGGCCCCGACTTGCGACACGGGGTGAGGAAAGAACGTCCCTTTCCATGGCTGGGAGGGAGACCTGAACCCTGGCTGGGGATCGGGAGCTGGGGCCGCCCTGGCCTCAACCACCGGGTTGGGTGCAGGGCTGGAGAGGCTCGGGGAGGTCACCCCAGCTCCGGGGCAGCAACCTCAGCACAAAAGCCCTGCCCGGGCTCTGCAGCCAGCCCGGGGAGAGGGAGGGAAGGTTTCTCCCAGACTGGAGGTGTAATTGCTCTTCCCTTCCCGGGGAATTGCACAAAGGCTATTTTTAGAGGCAAAGGCCACCTGCAGGGAGATGTGCTGGGCCCAGAGCTTCGGGAGGGGACGGGAGGGACGTGCAGGGACGAGGCGGCTCCGGAGGGGACGTGGAGCTCTCACCTGCTGGGGCCCAGCTCAGCTCCCCTGGACACCACACTGGGCCACTGATTCCAGGGAGAACGACACCACAGGCAGGGAAACTGCTGCCCTGCCTAGATGGAAAATGCTGCTGCAGCTCCTGCAGGTCCTGGGCAGGGGGGACAAGGCAAGTGCTGAGCAGGTCACTGGGTCCCCAGAAGCCAGAGATTCCCTGGGAGGTGGCAGCAGCTGTTCCAGCAGCTCTGCAGCTGCTGCTTTGATCTGGTTTATCACTGAGGTGACTCTCTCAACGTCTCAGCTTTTTTCCCAGTGGAGAGCCCTGCTGTGATCCAGGACTACCTGGATGCTCCTGGATTTTTTGCCACCCCGGAGTGTGACCCTTTGTGGCCAGAGCAGAGGATCTGAGGGAACTCTTGCACTCCTGGGTGATTCAGAGGCTGCTGAACCGGCTCTGCCAGGGCTGGGTGGCTCAACGAGGCCGTTTGGTTCACACCCCACTGGCTCTTTATTAGAGTGTCTGTCATCACTGGGCTGGAGGTCGTGATTAACTCGGCTCACGAGACAAAGGACATAATTACCTGTTCCTGGGCTCCCCAGTATCGGTCTGGCTGCCCAGGCCCTGCAGCCTCTGCCCTGCCAGGGCTGCAGACGGGACAGCTGGGGCTGCCCCAGCCCTGGAGGGGTCCCAGGCCAGGCTGGAGCAACCTGGGCTGTGGGAGGTGTCCCTGCCCACGGCAGGGGTGGAGTGAGATGGTCTCTGCCAGCCCAAATTATTCTATTCTATTCTATTCTATTCTATTCTATTCTATTCTATTCTATTCTATTCTATTCTAT